CCCACTGGGTCTGTCTTCACTGCCCCTTTTTATAGGGGAAGACCTTGTGTGACCCTAGGACAGAGGCATGCCCAGGCAAGGGTCAGCCCCTGGCGTACTGAGCATGTGTGCTCCATGCAGGGATGTGCAATTTCGGGTGCCTGTAATGGTGAGAGTTACTGGTTTTGCAGGGTCCTTTGTCTTTCAAATGCTGGTCTTGTCTCTGTTCCTGGGTGAGGTCCGTGGTTCCTGGGTGAATCAATGTGAGGTGATGGCCCAGTCATTACAGGCCATTCAGTAGAGGCCTGCTACTATTGTATTTCAATCATTTCCAATCACACTCATCGGGGAATCAATTTACATGGGAGGGGTACGTGACTCATACAGTTGCAACATGGGATGCCCAGGCAGAGGACAGAAGATGGAGGCTTGACATATAAAATGGAAACTTGACATGACTTTGGTTCACTTACAAACACAGGCCTAAACCATACAATATCCATATGAAACAATAAAAATCAATACAAAAGTGATAATAGTACAATATACAACAGTAAAAATCAATACAAACCTAATAATTATACAATATAAAACAGTGGATATCCAAAACCAAAAACTTGCTACCACAATAAAAATGTTTAAAGCTTATCCTAAGTCTGAGCTCACTTATACTTATCTATAGGGAATAGAGAGGGAGAGAAAAAGTCAGAAATGGTTGAGGAAAGGGGAGGGAATGCATTTTAAAATAAATGAAAAAAAACAAACTGGGGGGTTTACTACAAATTCATTACCTAGCAGCCCTTTGGCATAATTTGCATTCCTTTGTTACAGGAAGGTTTGGCTTTCCTCACCCTGTCTTCTGCTTTACACCCATACACATCCCTTTCATGCAGCAAAGGGGCTCACTTCCAGGATTGTAGAAATTACCAATCCTAGCTCTCAAGGTGAGGCCTCTGCATGGCTAATAAGGGTTTAGAGCAATCCTAACTCCTGGCATCCCTTGGGGGTCTGAAAATGATACGGAAGTCCGTGAAAGCCTAATAGTTTATTTTTCTAATGTGATTTGCCTTAGTTCCACATCACGTTACTGATAGTAGTTTTTTGGCTCCTGTGTATGTGGGATTTTTACATTCATGAAAATGAGGTGATGATAATGTTGGTTACAGCCTGGAATAATGTGGGCAGAGGCAATGTTCTTCTGTCCTGACAGCATCTATTGTCTTATTCCCACGATCACCTATAGTTCTGTCAAAGCACCTCAGCATGGGTCTGTTGTAGTCCCTGCAACTCTAGAGTTTATATTCTAAGAGCAATAATCAAAAGTTACTTGCTGTTCTCTACTTATTTGCATCTCTCACCTTCTCTCCATCTGCCTTTGCCTGGTCTATAGTGATCATCATGTGCGGTTCCCAAACTGACGTTGACGCAGCCATAGGGGAAGAGGAACTGGATGAAGACATAGTCTTCATTTTGTTGGATATCCACAAGTAAAGTACCACCTATATTTTTTCTCTTCTCTCCCTGATTTCCTGCAGGATGGAGATAATGGAAATATTACAAATTGAACTGTCATGGTACAAAAGCATTTTCCCACAAAACACTTTTTTAATGGTTGTGCTGGCCTGCTTTTTGCCATTTATCAAAAACTCTGCTGTTTGAACTAAGGCATTTTCTCCCCAAAATTTAATCTAATTCATACTTGATTTTCTTAAACCACCTACCTGTAGGTAGTGATGTCATAATCATAGTATCATGACCTCACTGCAAGATGAAATTATAGAATGACAGAAATCAAAGTCAGAACAGATATTGGATTATTTCTTGTTTCTTATTTTATCCAACTAGACAATGTAGAAATCTACCCTGGAGGATATTCCCCATGGCTTTGGTTTAGTCTTAAATAACCTAAGAAATTCAATGTGAATTTCTAACTACCTACCTTAAAATCCTATGAAAATTGCTGTCTTAGGGTTTCTAAAGGTATTTTCAGTGACTAACAACAAAGAGGTGCATGATGGGATTGCAAAAAGTGTTGAAGTCAGGTAGCTAAATGTTGTTGACATCACAGGGAGTAAGTCATCTTTACCTGCTAAGTCATTTTTAAAAACCCCAGTAGGCACTTACGTGCACCTTTAGACATTCTTTGAAAATCGGATCTTATTGTTTATGCCCTCTAGTGAGCTGCAGTTATTTATCATATCCTTAGTTTATTTGGTCAAATTATGTGTTGTTATTGAGATCTTCCTTCATGTATCATTTCCTTTAGTCTCATGATTATTTTCCCAAAATATTTTCTGAAATCAGAATAGTTTCTGATCTCCAACCAGTTTATCAGGCATCTTTCTCATACTGTGGTTACTAGAACCAATGAAGCATCCTAGGTAGGATCTTACAAGTAATCTCTATGAATATAGAGAGAGAGATTGGTTATTGTAATGACTGGCATAGCAACATTCTCAATGGACTTCCTCCAATAGATTAGGACCTCATGGCAGGATGAAGGGGGAAAAGCTGGAGGCTCTCATTCAACCACAAATATCTACAATAATAACAAAGGAAGAACATAAATTTATAAGATAAGTCTGCTGCTACTGATATAAATGTTGCATTTTTTAGGTTACTCTAGCACACCTCCCTCTGAAATTTATTGAGCTCTGACTCAAGCCATATATCAGTGTGATGAAAAACATAGTAATTTATTAACTGTTTCTTTAATAACATGCATTGGACAAATATTTTCTGTAGATGTTGGAATGACATAAAATTAATTGAAAATAGCACAAAACTGGGCACTCTTCATGGCATTCTAAATATACTGTATGAGTGCAAGCCAACAATCCCAATCTGGTCCAGGCCACAGATGGGGTCCAGGGAAACTAGAAGGTCCAGACTAGGACTGGGCTGTGAAACGTTATTAGTGTATCATTCTATGTGAAAGGAGGATCAGTATTTTCACCATTTATATTAACTTGCTCTATTTGTGGTATCCTCAGAGGACATAAGAACCTCAAAAACTATGGAGTGTGAACTACAACTGGCCTTCACAGTTATGGGTTAGGCATGTTAGACTCTAAAGTGTAATGATCCAAACTTTAGTCTCAAAAACTTCTTAAAACCACAAGGTAAAATTCCAGTAGAGCTCACTCACTCCTCCTTCCCTCCAAGCAGAAGAAACAAAGTTATATCCAGTTCAGACTGGGCCTGGGAGCAGTGCTGTTGAGCATGGAGGGAAAGGCTGGAGAAATTCTTATTTGCTTCCTGGACTTAAGAAAAGAGTCCCTGGCTGCTTTTCCCAGGCCCAGTCACCTGAAAGGGAGGGTGCACCCATGACACTGCATACCCTGCCCCAGATCTGCCCCTCAATTCTAGGCAATGGACTGAGAAGCAAAATGTTATGTCCTTGGTTAAGACATGCTGTACCATAAACTTCCCCCATGATCTTGATCAGGGAGAAGACAGAAACCAAACAGGAGAGTATAACACAATAATAGAAATGAAAGAAGAATTTACTTGAACCCATGAGTTTGTTTTTACCTTATCCCTTTCCTAATATCGCCTTCGTGTAGCTAAGCACTACAGCTGCCACAGGGACAGTGAAAATGGAAGGGGATGGATCCACAATGAGAAAAAGTTTGAGAACTTTTTTGTTAATCTGTTAATCATCAGTTCCCCTAGGGGAGAGGTGAAGGGCATTCTCTGGTATGGAGAGCTGAGGTGTTTCCACTCCACTTCCTTTTCCTTATCCCTGGAACACTTGTGTTTTATTTATTTATTAATGTATTTATTTGCAGTAACACCTACTTCCAGAACACCACGTCACCCAAATACATGCGGCATGTACTTGTCCTGACGCTGGCACCCTCCAATTTCAGCCTGAATATCACAGATACCATGGTAATTGTATTAATTTATATCTGATCATTTCAATACAACAATATCCCTGGGGCAAAAAAGGCCAGCACTGACTGTAGGCAACCTCTAAGACTGCCATGCTGTGACATTTACATATTAAAGTCATGGTGTTGTGCTGGATCATGTCCTACCCAGGATTATTTGGAGTTTATGCCATTGCACTTCTCTCCTGGGTTGGCTTTCTGAGACTTGAATTCCATCAACAGCAACAAAAAATCAGTCAAGTCCATAGTTTTTAGGACTTGACTGATTCTCCCCAAGCCTCTTTTCCAGGGTTCTAGAAACCTCATGGGAGCCATCAAATATTCTGTAGTGAAACAAATCCTGCCTTGGCCCAGGACTTTCAGGCTCTGAAGCTTAGCTCCACAGCAGGAAGCCTGGAAGCACTGAAGCTGAGTGACAAGTACAGCCAAGACTCCAAGGGCTTTCAGGCTCCTGACCTGGTAGCAGACTATGGATGGATCCAGGACTGCGCTAATAGGGCTGCAGCCACACCCCATTTGGGGCTGGGGCACAGGTGCTGTGAAGAATGCTCCCTGCGTATGTGCCATGCTGTTGAAGGGGCTGTGACTGGAGCCCCTCACTGTGATCCCTGATGTCAGTGAGCTCTTAGCAGCTCCTGCTGGAGCCCTGCATGTGCTGTGAGCTCTGAGCTTACTGGTGCAGGGTCTGCCCAGAGTCTGCTTTAAGCAGCTCCAGAGCTGGCTGCTTTTCACACTTCCCCTCTCTCCTCCCCTCCCCTCCTGAATTCAGCAGCAGGAAAAAGAGAAGACTGGAGATCAGTGTCAGCTTGGAACCTCCAGAGCTGCATAAAGGCAACAGGCAAGGGCTGGGCATTGCTGGCTGCTCCTCCCCTCATTTCTCCCACTGCTGAATTCAGTAGAGTGAGAGGGGAAGAGTGAGGAGCAACAGGCAGTCTGGAGCTGCCTGAAAATGGGGACGGTGGACAAAGTCCACGTGGACCAGCAGTGGGCTCAGAGAGCTTTGAGTACATGTGGCACTCCCAGCCACCACACCACACCTGGATCGGCCCCTGCAGCAAATAATCTGGAAGCATGGCTGCCTGCCTCTGGGATGTGGACAACTGGAATCTTGGCTGCATAGCCCTGGAGTAATCTGCCTGCTAGCCTACCTCAGTTTCCTGATCCCTTGAATCCTACTACACAGACTATACCACAGTCCATTATGTAGAGCAGAAGTGTCAAAGATATGGCCTGCAGATTGAATTTGGCTTGCAGAGCCATATTATCTGGTCCTCCTGCTGCCCGTCAACCTCCAGTAACCTACAGGCAGCATGAGGGGTGTGCCGGATGACCCCACTTGCCACACACAATGCCTGCTCCAGCTCACGTCCCGGAGTAGAGGGGTAGCAACAACAAAGAGCACAGCCCCAGAGCTGCTGCATGTGATGGTGGCTCCAAGGCCATGCTACATGTGATGGCGGCTCTGGGGACATTCAGGGAAGCCATGGAGTGGCCAGCACAGGACTGGGCCACATGCAGTGCCCACTCTGGCCATTCTAGGGTACATGCTGGAATGTAGAGCTGGAGCGTGAGTCTGGTCTAGTCCACAGACTGGCCCTGCATCACTCATCTGGTTTGCAAGGTCAAATGAGTTTTACATCCCTGATGTAGCGCTTCTAGGTGGAAGTATCATGGCCGGAAACCTGGAACTGCCTAGGGCTTTTTACAATCCTAGAACATTCTCACCCCAATCTGCTCAAGCAACTCAAGTCCATCTTTCAGCATTCCATTTTTCCAATCTTGAGCCCCAAAACAGCTCTGCCTGTACACCTCGTTCTTGACTTCCAGCTTCCCCATATGTTCCATTTTTGGAGTTATTGCTAAGCACAGACCATCTGTCCATTTTACTGCAATTTTCTATGGATATACAAACTGGTTACTGAGATGCCACTTCTCTTTTACCTCTGATTTCAGCAGAAAAATGACTTTGTTATTGGCTATTTGAATGGAGTCTTGCTCTTTGGACATGTCCTAAAGAAATTTATCTTGGCCAACCAGCCAGTTTTACCTGTCAATTTCATCAAGGAGTTTCGAAATGTCACTTTTGAAGGTAATCACTAATCAAGTACAATCGTAAGTAAGAGATCATTGAATGGACCGGTGGGGAAGAGAGTTAACTTACCAGGAAGTGTCAGGAAGAGTCCCTTCAATACTGAACTAACGCAAACTCTGCTGCAATTAATTGTTTTCCCACTCTTTTCTTCCAAATATATGATAATCTTCAGTGCTAAAGAGAAAGTTTAAGTAATATCCACATGCAGAAACCTCACAGTATATGGGGTATATAAAGTAAGAGGTGGAAAACCACAAAAATGTTTTAGCAATTACACTGAAGCTTCAATTTCTTTCTGTGACGTATCAAGGATATGGGAAAAGGCTACAGGGAACACACTTGCATAAGTGGGGAGCAGCACTCTGGATGGTAGGCATGAGCCTCCTAAACTAGCATGGATTATCATTATTTCATCTTATTTGGTGCTCTCTCATGTGTACACATATCAAACCAAGTTCTCTATATGTGGCTGTTGCCTGAGTGCACCAGAAGAAGGTGTAGTAGGGGTCATGCAGGTGGATTGCAGCATCCGTGAAACTCTCCCCTGTATCATGACAGCCATCCAGATATTAATTTGGGCTGTATACAGGCTGCACAGTGGTGAAATATATGCAGATCCATGTCTAAGCTTGATCCCCGAATATGTAGCCATGACCTATGACCAATATGTATAAATATATTTGGGTTCAATACTGAAAATCGTCAAAATTCCAGATAGCTACACTCAACCAGCTAGCTCATTAGTAAAAGACAGAGATAGAACTTATGCCAAGAAGGTATATTATCTCTTTGGAGAGCAGAGTTACAGTGGTTACCTCATTGTTGCTGTCAAAAGAAATGCTTAAAGGCCTGGGCGGATCTAGGATTTTGAAAAGAGAGGTGCAGATGGTGTGATGCACCATCACATATAACACAACATTTATTTTTCTCCAGTTAAAGAGAAACTAGAAGATTTACTAATATGCTAGTAAATCATATTAAAATCAAAGTAAAAACAACTTTACTAGAATGTACACTGATTTGCTAGGTTATATACCATGCTTAAAATATACAAAATACTAGGCAAAAATAGTCAAAAGATTGTTATTACTCCTGTAGTCATAATAGTTAAATGTACATCTCTTACTCAGATTCATAAAACAAAATCTAGCCTTCTTCAGCATCTTAACAGTATAGGTTTCCCTCGATTTATGTGGTACATGTGTTCTCGGAGAATGGTGCATAAATCCAATTTGCATAAAACAAACCCACTTTACAACATAACAAATAGGGGTAGGTTCCCATGGCGGTGAGGGAGGGAGGGAGGGAGAGAGTCTGGGACTAGGAAAGGGATGGGGGGAGGGGGTGCTGCTCCCAGGGCTGCACAAGGCAGCAAAGCAGAGGGAACAGAGCAGCACTAACCCCACCTCCAGCTGCAGTGGCCCGGAGAGTGATGGGTGCCAGCTGCCTGCAGCTGCTGGGCTACAGCGTGCTCTGCCTGTCCCCTTGCACCTGGGCTCCACTTGTCCACACTCACCTTTGCTCCTGGGCTGCACCATGCCCTGGTGCAGGCAGCTGGTGTCAGCCGCTCCCGGGGCCACTCCAGCATGGGCTGGAGTGAGTGCGGACAAGCAGAGCCCTGGGCATCGTGGAGCGCGGCACTCACCCTGGCCCTGGGAGCAGCCACCACCAACTGCCTGTAGCTGCTGGACTGCATCATGCCTCAAACCCCCTGGGGCTCTGCCCGTCCCCACTCACCCCAACCCCTGCTGCAGCAGCCCCAGGAGTGGCCGATGCCAGCTGCCTGTAGCTGCTGGTCAGCACCATGACCTGGTGCAGGCAGCTGGTGTGGGCTGCTCCCGTGGCCACTCCAGCATGGGCTGGGGTGAGTGCGGACAAGCGGAGCTCCGGGCATCATGGGGCATGGCACTCACCCTAGCCCCAGCTGCAGTGGCCCTGGGAGCAGCTGACACCAGCTGCCTGCACCAGGGCACAGCTCAGCCCAGTGGCTACAAGCAGGCGGGAACGGGTGGGGGCGCGGGGGC